TGATGAACATTTTTTCATGTGTCTGTTAGCCATTTGTATGTCTTCCTCAGAGAAGTGTCTTTTCATATCTTCTGCCCACTTTTTGACTTGATAATTTGTTTTTTGGGTGTTGAGCCTCAAACAACCTCTTTAATTGCAGTAGCCCAGCTAGCTCCAGAGTTTGAAATTCAGAGGCAAGTGCCTGTTTGTTTTTTGTTCTCCGAGGCTCGAGGCATGTCTGTATCATTGTGGTCTTAGCGGGGAGACCCAGCCCGCATTCCACAGATTGGGAAATGACAATGTGATTGATTTGGGATCTGTCCACAAAGTAATCATTTCAACAAGAAAATACATTGTCTACGTATTTACAAGGGTTAGAGCCCAAAGTTGTGTAGGAAGGGAATAATACATCAAAGCCTCGGCTGAAGACAACTGTAAAGTGTTCGTGTGGACGGCCCAAGGTACTGCCAGAATGCTTCCTCCCATATGATGTACATGTTAACAACCTGATGATATGATGATAGAAAGACACATAAAACAGCTATTTTTCCTGGCACGGAGCCCTGCTGTAAACCTGGAGATATTTAAATACCCCATTGCAGCCACGGTCCTGGCTACATGTAAGGATTAAAGGAAGCCTTTGGAGTGCAGAATAGGTTTCTTCTGCAAGCATCACCCCGCCTGCCAAGTTTTGGGGGTGGTGCATGGTGCATCCACCCCATGCAATCTTAAGATGGGAACCACGAAACTTGGGAGATACAATAAAATAGCAGGGCTCTGTTTCGTTGGCATGTAGGACGTTTGTACGAAGACGAATGCCAACTGGGGAAGGCCAGAGACTCATGTGGCATGTCGAGACAAATTAATCTTTAAAAGTATACATATATTTCCCAAGATTTCTAAAGGACTGAGAATCAGCGTTCTGAGTCTCCATTATTCTTCCATTACATGCTGCAAACTCTCTGAGGTAGTCTGCTTCTGTATTAGGCTATAATACGGTTCCTGAGCCCTTGGTAAATGTTGCCACTTCCTCTTGCCCCGCTTGCTTTCTCATCTAAAATGTAACAGCTGACTGGGATCTGGTTTATGTCTTACTTGCTCCTGTGACTACTTTCTCCTCTTTAGTGTTCTACTGAACAGATGCCATGAGAAACAAACAAGGGGACCTCAGGGCTTCTTCCCTTTGGGTTCAGAATCTCCGGAATAGGAAGAACTGACAAATGAATGACTGAGTAGACGATCGCTTTTAACCTGTCTATAAATACATGTTTATGTCTCTTGGTAATGGATTGCCCTTGTGAGCAAGTCATCATTTAAAGTTTAATTCTAATCTCCACACCAGAGATGGAGATACGGAATTGCTTGGGCTTTTCTCTCAAGCTCCCTCTTTTTCAAGATAAAGCAAATTAATTCATGTGTACTTTTCAACTGAAGGAATGATTAAGACCCAGCTGTGTCTGTGAAATTTTAAGTTGTGGTGCAACACTCGGGACTTGTTAATGCTTTTTTTGGCATGAAGAAGAGAGACATAACTATCTAATATTAAGTGTTCTAAAAAGCATAAGTTTGTTTGCCAAATTAACTTTCAAAGACACCTAAGTTACTAAGTTTGACTTTTCTACACACAAATCTTAAATGATTGATGGACTACTGTAAAATAGCTTTGTTCAACAAAGATCATCTTTGGCAGGCTACTTCAAAGGCTTTACCACTCTAGAAAGATGAAAAGATATCCTCATTTTACATTATTTCCCTTACAGATCAACACTTATTTGAAATATGCCTGAGAATTATGTGATATTTACTGTATTATGAGCCTGACTTCACTGTATTCAGCAGCCTCACATAGGATTGCTTCTACTTCTAAGATTTAGGAGCATTTCCTACACATAAAGAGCATCTTGAAGAACATACAGCTGGGCAGAATAGTGTATCTGGCATTACTGTTCCACCAAGGTAGTATGTGACACTAAAATATACAGATAGAGAATTTTTTTAATCAACAATACCATTTCAGGGGCGCTTGGGTGGCTCAGTCGTTAAGCGTCTGCCTTCGGCTCAGGTCATGATCTCAGGGTCCTGGGATTGAGTCCCGCATCGGGCTCCCTGCTCAGCGGGGAGCCTGTGTCTCCCTTTGCCCCCCCCCCAACTCCTGCATTCACGCTAATAAATAAATAAAGTCTTTATAAAAAATACCATTTCAGGATGTGGTTTCAGATTCTCCCTATAGTATTCTTCAGTATCTAAAAGGACCCATTTCTTTCTTTTTAAACATAGATTGTGTGATTTTATGTCTAAGGTCATTCTAGAATTCCATCTCTTTGAAATTATGTAAACCAAGGGTGAACATTTCAACTACGGGGTCAGGCAGGTAACAGAAATTAGCAAAGAGGGCACATTATGGGGGGGGGGGTGCGCGCGTGTGCATGTGTGTTGGGGGGGGTTGGCGCCTGAAGGGAACAGTCATTTAGGTCAATATGTCAGATATTCTGATTTTTATTAGAAACTTTTTTTTTTTTCCAATATTGGCAACCACTTCAAATTTTTGAAAGATCCGGAGCTAGACAAACAAAACACGTCTGAGGGATGGCATGCTGCCGTAAACCTGCTGAGAAGAAAAGTATTTACATTAAAAAGAAAAAAAAATGCTTTCTCAGTCCGTCCACACTTTTTGGAATGCTGTTTCACAACTGTGAAATAGCCACTTATGATGGCCTTAAAATGGCTAGGACAGAGGAACTAATAAAGCTCTGGGGTCATGTGTTCGGGAGCAGCTTTGCAAAAGGGCTCAGATGCACCGGGAAGCAGGGTGCAGTGGGTAATGGATACAGGTTTCTTATGTAAAACACAATAATCCGTGAATTCACAACGGAAAAGATATGAAGCAGAGACCCCTTTTCTCTTAAATTTATCTTCAAGGCCATTTCATTTTATGGAAGTGAATAAAGCTGACTTGCAAAAAAAAAAAAAAAAATCCTTCTTTGCTCTTTGGCAGGGTGAAGTAGAGAAATAAAGTCTCCCCGCTGAACTACTATGAGGTCAGAAGCCTTGCTGCTATATTTCACACTGCTACACTTTGCTGGGGCTGGTTTCCCAGAAGATTCTGAGCCGATCAGTATTTCGCATGGCAACTGTAAGTATCCACAATCACGTTGTCATTCTCTCCCTCTGTGGGCATCTCAGGCTGCATCAACCAGCTAAACACCCAACATTTTCTAAAATTTAATAAAATAGACCTGTTAGTAGACGACAGAGGGATCTCGTCAAATTGGGGAGATGGCTGTTCTGTAACTCCGTTAAATACTGTTGTGGCAACACGTGTGTGTGAACATGCATGTGAGGATCTGAAACGTTCCTCAAGTACCTCTGATGAAGTCTCAGGCAACTAAAAGGCCATCCTCAATCATGCCCAAAAACCAGCCATGGGAGAACATCTCTACCATCTGGATATCGCCCGGAGTGCACATTCTCACGTGTGGTTAACGCATGGGCATTGTTACACAATGAGAATGGGAAAGAAGATGACTGTTTTGGAGTACTTAGGGACAAAAATTAACTTTTCTTTTAGACTTAGAAGTAAAAAGTCTGCTGGACTCTGAATTCACAGAGGACCTATTTTAACTATTTATAACTGTCTTTTGGCCTCCGCTTCATTGTCAAAAGGGTAGAAAGCCACGTGATTAAGAGTTCAGTTGACTACTCAAGAGGGAAAGTCCTACCTGTGTGCGGGATCAAACAGCCCATGTACCACTTCTTTTCCTTCCCTCCGAAAGACAAAATGTTTTATCACAGTAAAGGTGAAAGGGAGCCCTTTCACCCAAATATCTATTTTCCCAGTAGCCATCCCAAAACAAACTGAATAAACCCTAAGGAAAGTATTTAGCATCTATAGGGGATACTAAGGAGATCCATCAATGTGTGGCTTTCTGCTGGACAGTCCCTGAAAAGGGAAATAATTTCACATGAAGGTGAGCTGGGAAGACTTGGCACAGCAGACAGTGAGCGAACAAAATCAGGGCAGGCTCAAGGACCCAAGAACTGTGTAGTTCAAAATCACTAAAGTGGTGGTCCACCTGACTCAAGGTAACAAATCTTAATACACATTGATTAATCCCCATTTGGGACGGGTATTCTATCTCTGATGCTCTGTAAAGAAGAGTCCCCAGGCCAAGTATGTGCTGCTGAAAATGAAATGTCAATGGACACTCCAATCCTTGACAGTAGAGGGACAAGAATTGTCTTAGCAAGCTCCTTGATGAATGGGCAAATGAAATCTCAGAGCGTGCAGGGGAAAGCACAAGATAATCCCATACCAAGCTTGACTGTGAGTCAAATATACCAAGGCTCCCTGATACCCACTGTGAGTAATGCTCAGATACTACAGGGGATTCAAGTGTAGGGGTCTGAGCAGGAATCTGTGAATGGGTTTCAAGTCATTATTTACAACTCACCCCACCCCCCAAAAAAACATTTTTAAATATGACTCATCCTTCTTTCCTTCTGAGTTTCTTTGGAGGACTGCCAGTGCTCTGGAGAGTGTAGGTTTAAAGGCAGAGAGATTTTTGAAATGTAGGTATTTCTAAAGGTCAGATATTATTACAAATTGCCCGCTCTCAGCTAGAGAGAACTGTAGGAAAGCAGAAATATGTTCATTGACTCTCCAAGTCAGGGAAAATTCCAGATCACCCGACTGGCTACACTCCGTTTGACCCTGTCCTGTCAAAGCCCCAGCTTCTGTGAGATTAGCCAATTGCTTAACTCAAGAGTGAACTTCCCACAGTTCCTAGAATGCCAACCAACCTAGCAGGGCTGCCTTCAATAGGAGATTATTCCAACTGGACGCCTGTGGAGACTGTATTTTTCTTCTGGCTCCTGGACGAGGGTTCTCGCCTCCAGACCACATTGCCTTTGTGGTGACTGATGGGAAAGCTGCTTTGAAATAGTTTTGTCCGGAGACAAGATCTTTGGCAGGCTGCCCCCCAGGCTTAGAGCTCTAAAGAAGATGAAAAGAAAACTGGAAGAAAAGAGCACCTTCATGTAAAGGGTTCACTTGCAAGTTTAATCCCCCTCCCCTGCAAAAAGAGGGACAAGTCAGAAATTGTGACACGGAGAAAGAGAGGTCCAGGCTGATTATCATCTGGAAATGAGACTGTAACGTGATTGTCCTCACAGAGCACCCATCTGTCACAGGCCTTCCTAAAATCACAGACTCCTTGGAAATGGAGAGTGGTGGCATGGACTGACTTAAGAACGGTTTTCTTTTTGGGACCAGCCCCCTTCCTCTCCCTGCCTTGTTGATTCTTGGCTTGATTTCCTCTCCCTCTCTTGCCCCATCTCTCTTTTCACAGATACAAAACAATATCCGGTGTTTGTGGGCCACAAGCCAGGACGGAACACCACGCAGAGGCACAGACTGGACATCCAGATGATGATGATCATGAACAGAACCCTCTACATTGCTGCTAGGTGAGGGGCCTTTTGCTCACGTCTACCCTCAGAGGTGGGGGTTCCACGGTGATCTTAACCTGGGTCTCGACTGACTAATCACTGCACACTGGGAAGAAGAAACAGAAATTATGTCTGTGATACTTGCATGGCTGTGAGCATAGATAAGGAACAGGTCAATAAGAACAGTGCTTCATTCTTCTAAAGCACTTAGGTGTTCTCAAATGACAAGCTATGCAACATAAACCAAAAACCGTGGGCCACATTACAGTATCCTGCGAGTACCCCACAACACGTCTCAGGGAGCAATGCCAAAGCCCTTTTCAATGATTTTACTTCACGAATACGTACATGGTACATACTAGTTGTATGTGCTAAGTTTTTTATAAATGTTCATCCATTCAGTCCTGGAAAAGAACCCTAGTTCAGTGAAGGAGCTATTACCTTCATGTCTTTAAGGAAGAAACCCAGGGTGAGAAAGGTGAAATGCCTGGACCAAAATGACAAAGGCAGGGTTTGAAGTGGGGTGGCCTTGCTCTAGAAGCTGGGCATTTAATCCCGGTCCTGGGCAGCCTACTGAGGAGGAGAGGTGGTCCTATCTGTCCTGGCAATAACTTTCTACTAGCTTGTGCCCATGAACAAAGCTAGTGTGGGTATTCCTTAGCAAGTGTTCCACTGAGGCCCTCAGTAGGTACCTCACTGGTAGAATATCAGGTCCTTCTTTTTTTTTTTTTTAAAGATCTTATTTAAAATTTTTTGATAGAGAGAGCACGAGCGGGGGCAGGAGCAAAGAGAGCAGACTCCCCGCTGAGCAGGGAGCCCAACGCTGGGCTCCATCCCACGGCCCTGGGATTATGACCTGAGCCGAGGGCAGATGCTTAACTGACTGAGCCACCCAGGTGCCCCTCATCAGCTCCTTTTTAAATATCATTTTTAGATCCCTAAATGTAGCAGGGCTAGAAGATTACATTTGTAGTCAATTATCTATAGGCTGGTCAAAACAAATGATTAAACACTGGATCTGTGAGAAATAGGTTGAGTCAAGAATCTTCTATGAATGATTCACTCTGCAATTGAGTCTCTAGGGAGAAAAACAGGATAACGGACCTCATACCTGATGATTTAGTGTGGGTGTGGACTGCAGGTCCAGGGTGGCCCCTGAGTTAGGAGCCAAGTGTTATGCAAACTTAAAAGAGACCATTATCCCAGCTCGTTAAAACCCAGACAGCGTTATCCTAACCCTACCCCCCCCCCCAATAAAGGAGAAATATAAGGGAAAAAAGGAGAGAAACACATTCATGGTTTTTGTTTTTTTGTTTGTTTTTTTTTTAAAGATTTGACAGAGAGAGAGAGACAGTCAGAGAGGGAACACAAGCAGGGGGAGTGGGAGAGTGAGAAGTAGGCTTCCTGCAGAGTAGGGAGCCTGATGTGGGGCTCGATCCCAGGACCCTGGGATCATGACCTGAGCTGAAGGCAGACGCCCAACGACTGAGCCACCCAGGTGCCCCCACATTCATGGTTTTAAAACTCTACAACAGACTTGCCTTTTGTTAAAGGTCAAATTTGTAAGACCCCCGCACTGACCTGTTGGTTTCCACTCTACACACAGCCACTTGCCTTCAGTACCCACCCTTGGGAAAATTCCCGAAGGAGTTTCCTGGCTACCATGTTTAGGGTCTCCCCTCTCCCTTCAATTTCCCAACACTGCCCAGAGAGATCCAGGTTCCTGAGCAGCAAGTGACACGATGTAAAGCCCAATCCTTCCCCCAAGCTCAAACCACGGCAACACAATTCAGTTTTGCTCACTGGAGCTGGGGCGAGGAGAAGTCCTCGGATTAAGTCAGTTTGTGTTCAAATAACTGAATTCAGTTAAGTACAGCTTATGAATCCTGGGATATACACATGGGCAGGTGGGAATAACCGTCCACTCCGGCCTTAGGTTTAGCATAAAGCACGGTTTCTGTTTGCCGGGCAATGTTATCTCCTGGATATTGAAAAAGATTGCAATGGTCCAAAAGATTTCATTCACAGATTTCTATTTTTAAAATAGGCTTCCCGGTTCTTCCAGACAATTGGTGTTAGCCATCAGAAACCAAGTCCCATCCAGAACCCAGAGACTGAGTGAGCCTTGATGGCAGGAACCCCTTTCAATTCTGCTTTATTACTATCCATTTTGAAAATTCTTTTTTTGTTTGTTTGTTTAATCTCTAAACTGCTAATTAACATAAACAGGCCATGCCAGAAAGGGGCAATCCCAGAGCTTTCTGAGGAATTGCCAGTGCATATTAATCAGCTGTTAATTTACAATTCGTATATTCAGCTCCTACTTAAAGTTTTCAGGGGAGGGAGGGCAAGGAAAAACCTAGAGTCATCTCAAACCTGATACCAAAGTAATAGGCAATGCTGTCCCAATAATGAGCCTGACCCACAGCGCCACCAATAAAGGCAAACAAGTAATAAACGAATGCAATAAAACTGCCTTGAAATTAAAGGGCAGGGTGATTCTGGCTCCCTACGGAGGTTCCAAGAACTTCCCACTTCAGCAATTTACAAAACCAGGCTCCCCATTCTCCCCCCTCACCACACACACACACACACCATCCACCCCCCGAAGCTCAAACACTCAGAGTTGCAAGGAAATTCTGTAAGTGAACCGCCTTGCCCCCAACCTTTATTTTCACATGAGAAAGCCTGTTTTTATTTCTGTTTTTCTCTGTTGTACTTTGCCTAAAACAGTAGCAGATTTCCAAAGAAGGTAGGAGGAGGGAGAATTAAAGTGAATCCTGACAGCAGATCATTCCTTTTTTCTTCCCCACTCCCTCCACTTTCTCTTAAGTAATGAGGGGGCCTGAAAGTCTACATAGGAGCCTTGAGGTCCTGGTTTAAAGCTGTGGGTAATTTTCCAGCCCCAGGACTTCCTGCGTTTTAGAAAAAGTCAATGTTATTTCAAGGGAAAATGAGCTGTTTTGCTTTCCCTCGCTAGCCCCCCATCTCCCCAGTTGAGTGAGTTCCCTTTTCTTTCTTCTGAATTCCAGACAAAAACGCCCTTGTGCTCAGCTCACACAGAAGGGGATGTTTAAATATAGCCCCACACCTGAGCTGCTGATTCTGTTTCTTCCCTTCCAGGGGGAGATTGGCAGCAGATCGTAAAGGCAACCAAATTCTCAGCAAAACAGGAAGGTGAACAGAAGCAAGAAATGTAAACTTTAGCTCAAGTACATTTTAGACCTTAATTGACCATCACTGTGTGAAGAAAACAGTGCTTTCTGGGAATAATTTCACTGTTATCGTCTTCCATCTTGTCAACCACATCACCAAAGTGAAGGCTGGAAATAAGTTTTGTACAGAGAGAAACAGCCAGAGATGAGCTTTTTGTTAGCCCCCATGATGAACGAATGTGGTTTGTTGCATACCAAGTGTTTGGAACATGGATTTGAAGATACTGAAAGGGCATGGGGAAACCCACCTGTGTTCTGGTTTTTGGGTCAATTTAACTTTCAAAGTCCTCTCTCCTGAGCTATGTACATACAAGCATTCTAGTGCTGGTATGAGTGGGACAACAGCAAAGTTCTCATAAAAGGTGCCCCTTTCAGCAAGATGCCATGATTTGTCAGAAGTAGCAGAGTGTGATCGAGAGGCATCTCTTGCAGGCTGAACTGTTCCCTTGTTCTTGCATGCGGACGTTTCTTTTCTAATAATGTAGATATGGATTTATCTGCCTTGAATGAGATACACACTCATTCAGGAGAAAATTAACTGTCTTGACTCCTGTGTTTGACACTGTATCAATTTCTCATTGTTTACAGGGACCATATTTATACTGTTGATATGGACACCTCACACACAGAAGAAATTTATTGTAGCAAAGTAAGTAGTTTTAAAACCATCTTTCTAAAATGAAGGGCTTTAGGATAGTTCTTGAAGGGAAAACGTATTTCACATGCACTAAATGAGATGACATGGCTAATAACTGGGAATGATTTCGAACATTTTTTTGCAATCCTACAAATTTGGGGCAAATCCCTGTTTGGAAACAGCTATCTACTTCATAGTTTATTCACCAAATATGTGTGCCTGTGTACTTTGGAGTTTTAGGTCATCTCCAAATTCCTTTAATAAAATACTACCATGTTTGTCCAGGAAAATATCAGTTTTCATATGTAAAATTCTGCCCCACAAATGTTTCAATGTTACATTTCCATGTCTTGCAGTATTAAGTTTGATTTGCCTGTTGTGGCTCAGCAACCTGATCATTAACCACTTCAGACAGACATAAAATATAACCTAAGTTTCCCCTCTAACTCCACATGGAGGTATTTTAGTTAATAAAATCTGCCACAGAAGTAGACGATCCCTTCAGTCTATGAATTTACGTGGAGTGGAACCTGAATTAAATCTTTGTCTACTCAAAGTGAATGTCCCCTTTATGTTTAAGTAAATGACTTCCATATCTTAAGGGAAAAAAGCATGCTTTATGAAAAGTGATTTATCAACTGAAAGGAAAGGGCAAGGACGTGTAGTTTATCAAAATGAGTGTCATTTAGCAAGTTGATTTGGATATTTTATGAGAAATCTCCACGCTGTTGTTTGTTCTTCTTTCCTTTTCTCCATCTTTACCTCAAGGAGAAGAAGATCATGCTGTAGTTTAATGAATAGATAGGAGTTCAAAATTAAATGAACGGTTCCCATCTCTGATCTTTTGTTGTGATGGTGAATTAATCATGGAGAAAGGGTGCGGAAAGCTTTCAATAAATATATGTTCAGCCTCCGTCTCCCCAAGGGAACTCTTACTTCTAAAATCAAATGCAACCACCTCTGGGCTCTAATTGATTTCTTTCTTGATCCCTGCAGAAACTGACATGGAAATCGAGACAGGCTGATGTAGACACATGCAGAATGAAGGGAAAACATAAGGTAGGCAATTTTCATTTCTCCTGCAGCTGCCACTTTGGGTTAAGTTTTTGACTGTTACCTCCAGCTGTAGACCATGATGTGGAATGGATCGTGCTAGTCCCTTTTCCCCCAGTAATTGCTTTTTCCATCAGCTTATTGAAGGCTTTAATTTGCAAAAACAGTTTGCTTTTAATGTGATGAAATATTACGACAGCTGCTAGGACTGCATCATGAACTACTGAGGGACACTGGGGATTATGGACACCAAGTTGGCTGCCCCAACTCTTCCGAGCACACTCTTCGGTAGCCCCACACACAGACCAGAGTCCTCGGGGAGGCTGAAGAAGAGCTCAGAACAAAGCTGCTGCAGACAGACAGGGGTCTGTGCCTTTAGTCCCAGAACAACATAAAAACACACTTCAGCCAGGAGCCTTGCCCATCAAGGGACCTTGGGACATCTGGCATTAAAATTAATATGATGGGAGGTTGGCACTTCCACACTCGTTCTCTCTGTGCTGTGCTTTTAGTTTCTGTTAAAAAAAAAAAAAAGCCATTGTCGTCAACGTCATCTTTTGGTAAACATCAGAAGGAGCTCGACTTCTTAAGCGGGGGAACTCTGCAGCCACCTTCCTTTTTAACCTTGCTGTCAGCAGATGGTGGTAGATGGTGAAGGATGGGTTTCTGTATTGGACGGACTGGATACAAAAGAGTTTGCATTATTTTTCAGGATGAGTGTCACAACTTTATTAAAGTCCTTCTAAAGAAAAATGATGATACTCTGTTTGTCTGTGGAACTAACGCCTTCAACCCTTCCTGCAGAAACTATAAGGTAAATGCAGTTTTGTCAGTTGGGGACCACGTGGGCTGGAGGTATTCTGTGATTTACTGTGATTGTACCTGCAGCAGCCTAAGAGGGGTAATTCAACACCATCTGGGTTCCTCTCCCTCGTTGGACTTAATGTACTGCTCCACATGAGTGATCCTAAGCAGGCTCCTAAGCTTCCTGTTTGTGCAGGATTGACTGACACATCCTTAAGGAGCCTACCCAGCAAAGTTAGTTTCTCTAAGACCCTATTCTTCATTGTTCGGAACTCCAACAGACTTTTCCATGTGTATCGTGTGGATTTCCCCTCCCTCCCTTCCTCTTTCTCCCTCCCACCCCACCATCTCCTCTCAGCACACAAACACACTTAGGTTGTGAGTGATTCCTATTTTAAGAGGTATCTCAAAAGCGTGCCACTGGAAACTGTGGACTTTCTTCCAGGAGAGATTTCTAAGACCGCAGAAATTTAATTCCATTTAGCACTCAGCTTACCTGACGGTGGCCTTACCCACTGTGGCCTTCATGCAAGGGAACATTAACAAATCAAGTTAGTTCTGAGCAGCGGACAGGTGCTGTTGAAGCAGCAGGAGCAGAGGTGGCCACGAGCTAAGGTCTTGGCTTCACATCTGTCAGCTCCCCTTGCCCGTTCTTTCTGCCACAGCCCTTCTTTCCGCAAACACGTACTGCGTTTCTCACATGGCCAGGCACTGAGGCTGTAAGGCCGAAGAGGAGGCCTCCATCCTTAGGGAAGCCAGACAGGGAGAAGAGAAATATCATTCCATGGGCCGCTACCACGGCGACTCAATGCGGAGCATTATGGAAGCACAGCAGAAAGGCGCTAAGCTTAGCCAGAGGTGAGGAATCAGAGAAGGCTTCTAGAAGGAAGTAGATGACCCCTCTCTTCAGATGCTCCCCGCTGCTGTTCTCACATAGGGAACATGAATGCCCCCAGTCCAGGAGACACCCTCAAGCTCTGTGACTGTCCACGACCTGACCCAGTGCCTCCCAACAGGTGCTCCACTCATTTGTGTGGGGTACACAGTGGGTGAGAAGCCTAACCTTTGTTTTAAAGAAGTAGACGTTAGCCGAAGGAAGAGAGAAGGGTATGGTAGGCAGAGGGAACGGCATGAACAAAGGCACTGAGAAAGAAACAGTCTGTCGAGCTTGAGAAACTTCCTTTGGGTCTGAGTGCTGGACCCTGAAGTGATAATAACTGAGTAGAGGCTAGAGAGGTAGGGGGCGATGGGGATGGGGACAAAGCGAGGGGAACAGATTTGGGAAAAACCAGTAGGATTTAAGAACTGATAAGCAGGGGCGCCTGGGTGGCTCAGGCGGTTAAGCGACTGCCTTCGGCTCAGGTCATGATCCCAGGGTCCTGGGATCCAGCCCCGCGTCGGGCTCCCTGCTCTGCGGGGAGCCTGCTTCTCCCTCTCCCTCTGCTGCTCTATCTCTCTGAGGGGTAAATAAATAAAACCTTAAAAAAAAAAAAAAAAAGAACTGATAAGCAGCCCTGGATAAGGAGAGGGAGGGGTTGAGAATGACTGCAAGGCTCTCTTGGGAAAGGGGATGGATGGAGCTGCCAGCATCTGGGACGGGGAGTAAGAGCAGAAGAGCGCTGGGGCTCGTGGGGGCCGGCTGTCTTACCCTCATGCTCATCTTCTGACACTTAGAAGTGGGCCCCAACAGGGCCTGGATTAGGGTGAGGCAAGGGAGGCATGCGCCCCAGGCACAAAATGTTAAGGGGTGCACCAAAAACATTCAGTATCAAGGTAAGGTCAGTGATATTCTTAATTCAAAATCTAAATTAATGTAAAAAACACTATCCTAAAATAGCAAACTTTTTTTTTTAAGATTTTTTTTTTAATTTATTTGACAGAGAGAACACAAGCAGAGAGAGAGAGGGAGAAGTAGGCTCCCTGCTGAGCAAGGGGCCCGATGTGGGACTTGATCCCAGAACCCTGGGATCATGACCCGGGCCGAAGGCAGCCGCTTAACTGACTGAGCCACCCAGGCGTCCCAATAGCAAACTTCTTAATAATGACAGGATCTATTCGGTCTGTAGCAGCCAGTCGGGCCAAACATTTCCTCTCGCCAGTGACAGCGTACAGCTGACGTTTTGACTCTAATTCTCCCACTTAATATTCCATCCCTGTTTGTCATTGTTTAGGACTCATTAAGATTAATGCTTTTCACAATTCCCAACCAATTCCCTAGCTGGAAAGCTATCTTTTATGACAAACAACAGGTTTTCTTGGCACTGTGATACACAGGCTGGGGGTGGTCTAGCTCATTCTTCCCACACGTGTTCCATTCCCCGGGACGCCTCACCTGTGTGGTGAGACTGTCACCTCTCGCTTGTTCCAGCCACACCTGCAGAGACCCGTTCGGGAGCCTGGGCCTCTCAGAAACCACACACGGGATGCTCTTCCCGCACAGTCCTGTATGTCTGCCTGGGCAGTGCTCAGAGAAGTGGGTTTCCAGACTCCGGGCAGAGCAGGACTTTGTGGATGATGCGAGACAAGAATGTAATTGGCTGCAGGAAGAATGGACAGTCTCTCTTAAGGGCTTTTTATGAACAGATCAGGACTATAGGTTCAAAGCAAAAACAATGACCAGTCTTCCCCCACTCCCCCCCCCAAAAAAAACCCAAGTCTCTTAGTGCAGAAGCATCAAGTTGATTATACTAACTTGAAGCAGGAGGGTGACACATTTTTGGTCTCTACCTCTGCACCATGCCCCAATTTACACAGTTTTAAAACAGAAGCAAGCTGAATGTAATAGAAAGATTAGAGCCCCAAATAAGATTACCTGGGGAAGAATTCCATAGGCCACCCACTATAAATCTAAAACTACACTCCATGTCTTTTCCCTCCTGCTCTCTCTAAACCTCTTGAACTTGTGCAAAAAGTCAGGCTGGTTCTTAGTATAATTACCTGTACTCTCTGGTGATTTAATTTCCAGGGGCTGCTGTTAAGTCTGAGATTTGGAGACTACCACAAGGATTAGTTCTAACTTCATGGAAAGAGGATTTCACCATGGCATTGTTCTGTCTGTGGACCTTTCCAGAATCACAAACCGAAACATTAATACTTCACTGCTTCTTGCCTTTGACTTGCTATAGCTACGGTTCTTTTTTTTTTTTTTTTTAGAAGTAGGTACATTTAATAACATAAATCCCCCCTTGTATATTGTCTCCCCATTGCCAAGATTACAGCATGCACTGCTGGGGATAAAGGCATTTCCACTGCATCACTGTATACTAAGCATTATTTTTGGATACTTGCCAGACCCATAGACCACAAAGTCTGTGACAATTCAACACGATGCTCTTATTGGGATAAAATATATATTTAAAAAAAAAAAAAAACCTTTCATAAAAGTATGCTGAGGGCGCCTGGGTGGCTCAGTTGGTTGGGCGACTGCCTTCGGCTCAGGTCATGATCCTGGAGTCCCTGGATCGAGTCCCGCATCGGGCTCCCTGCTCGGCGGGGAGCCTGCTTCTCCCTCTAACCGCCCCCCCCATGTACTCTCTCTCTCTCTTTCTCGCTCTCTCAAATAAATAAATAAATCTTTAAAAAAAAAAAAAAGTATGCTGAGGGGAGAAGAGTGCATTTAAAGGATGTCTCACCTGAACATCTTTCCCCTAAAAATACATGTTTTTAATACAAATGCTACTGGGATTCTCAACAAGTTTGAACAGATAGGATGGGCTTCAATAGGAGCTATCTCGAAGCAGTTACAGAAGTTCTGTCATATCCCTGAAACCGTTTCCTGGGGGTTGAGGGCAAAAAACACGACTGGACAACACTACCAGCCACTCAGTAAGCACCTCACTCCTCCTGCACAACGACTCCAAACAGCTTGATTTAAGGGCCCTGACTCCGTCCCTTTCAGTGGATCCTCCCTGGGCCCCAGTGCTGTCTCAGGCTTCTCTTCTTCCAGTTTCGTATCTATAGTCAAACCAGGCAACTACCAGTTACAAACAAGATACCCTCAAACCACAAAAAGAAGACTGAACCACAGAGGGTTATAAAAACATTAATGACGTGGAGGAGATAATTTTATGGACTCTGGTACTGAGCTGTAAACGCTAGGGAGATCCCATGGTGTAAGGAAAAAGACCACACGGTAGAAGGCAGAAACCACCGAATCACTGGTCAAGGTAGGCCAACCTCTGACTAACGTTAGGGGCTGGCCAAGAGAAGTGTCGTTCCTGCTCACATCACAGTTGAGTGCAGGTCAGTGACAGAGCGTCTGCTCCACTAGGTTATGCAGACGGCTTTATCCTGCTCCTACCTCTGCCGTCTCCTAGGATCTTGGGATTCTGGACTGGATCCTTTGTATCTAGCGGGCCAGAAGACAGAGAGAGCAAGAGTGGAGGACACTGTAGAGGCAAGACCTAGAGGTGGCACATACCCTTCCACCCCCATTCTGTGGGCCAGAGCTCCTTCCGTGATCACACCTAACTGCAGGGAAGGGTGGGAAATGTAGTTCAGTGTGAAGTGGAGGAAAGGGAAACAGACTTTGGTGAGGCTTTACCTCACTAGCAAGGCTTTAGCACACCCACAAATCCTGTGAAGCTAGGTGGGTAACTTGCAGGAGTAAGCTAAGCAGGGTATACGTATACTTTGTGGGTAAAGAGGCCTCGGTCCTGGAGACCATATGCTTGTTTGAAGAAAATAGCAGGGTGGTCATTATTTCGCTTACAGCTGGTTGCTGCCACTTGGGTAAAAAAAAGGCTTGAATTGACTTTTCCACTTGCTCAAAAATAAGAAATCAGGTTTCATTTACAATCTCCTTATTTTAAAATAGAGCTCAGTTTTTCTTTTTTCTTTTCATTCTCTCTCCCTCCCCTCCTTCTTTCTTTCCATACTAAGATGGCCAAACAAACCTCCCTGACAGGCCAGTTATAACCTCCAGCATGCAGGAACAAGGCACAGGGTGAGCACACATGTGGATGTCAAATGGCAGCCCCACTGCTGACCGCCTTTGACTTGTGTGAGCCCCTCACCTTCTGGACCTTTCCATCTGATCTACATGATTGGAGGCTGGGACAGGTTTCTGAAGTTGGTGCAAAAGGCCACCTGAGCTCTGCTTGCATCAGTGTTTCTGCACCTCTCCTGACACCACACTCTTCTGCCAGCTAGCCACAGGAAGAATTCCAGTGTCTTCTACTGGGATTTAACCCACAAAGGCAGGGCTCCTCAGGCAAAACAAAAACCAAAGCCTGAGATCATTCTCTACAGAGTTTATGACTCAACATTTAATTCAGAGGCAGTGGGGGAGGAAGAGAGGAAGTTTTCCCAGTGATTGCCTTAAAAATTCCTTTTCCAAAGAAAAGACACTTATTTCTAGGCTGTTCCAAAAAGATATGGGAATCTATTTACTATAACGGTTAAGAGTCAAGGAAACATGACTGAATCTCAGACTCTCCTAGCTGCAGAACCTCGGACAAGTGAGTTCATTTCTCCAAAGCTCAGTTTCCTCATCTGAAACCAAGAGACATATCTCAGAGGGTATTTGAGGATGCTTTGCACTATGCATATGAATTACTTAGCACGTTAAGTGCTTTATAAATATTAGTTGCTATGACTACTGTTGGTTGTTATTGTTCCTAATGAAGTCCCATTATTTCATTTAGATGGATACTCTGGAACCTTCTGGGGATGAATTTAGTGGAATGGCCAGATGCCCATACGATGCCAAACACGCCAACGTTGCACTGTTTGCAGGTAAACCACCTGATTTCTTCTCGTTGCATTTGCCCTCTCGCACCTGTTGCTGTGAATCTGCTCTGGAGGATTCCCCAAGTCACAGCTGTACTTTGATTCTCTGGTGAATACCATAATTAACAATGCCTTTTCCGTTTGAAATTCACATAGAAATTGTACTTCTGCTTCATACAAGGAGTCTCCACCACCCTTCCCCGGGCCTGTCTGCCTTAGAAAAGGGATGGCAGCTTTGCACTGAATGTGCAACACGTTGTTTAGGGCATGTTTGGGTTCACATAATCAAAGATCCTGCCTCGAACTACCAGTGTAGATTGATTACTCAAGGTAGGACTGACTTTGGGGCTGGGAGGATTCAATGGCTCAGTAGCGTCATCTGGGACACAGGGCCTTTTCACTTCTCTGCTCTCTTTCAATTCTTTGTCAGAGAGGGATGGGCGGCTCTCACAAACACGGAGTGGCCGCCAGCTCCAGTTAGGGCTACGTGTGTTCTTGTCCACATCTAGAAGGGGAAAGGGAGGAGACAAGGTAAAGCTGCAGGAAGATCTCCAAGCAGGGAGGCCACCTGCCCACAAGTTTCCAGCAGACACCTCAAATATCATTGACCTGATTAGGGTGCGTGCTTCTCTCTGATGGAAAGATAATAGGGGGATGGGGGATGCGGATCAGCTTAGGGTGATGCATACTCCTCATCCTCTCCCTTTCCTTTCCCTGCCAAGGATAGAAAGCAGCAGCAACTAAGCCATCATCTTCAGATTGGGATTCTCGTGTATATGAGTGTGTGAGTTTGTGAGTGTGTGTGTGTGTGTGCGCGCGCGCGTTTTAATTAGGAATTTATTTAGGAATTCATTGCCAGCTGTGTGGAGGTGGGTGTGGGGAGAAGTGTTGGTATAATAGTGATTGTTATAGCATGTAATAAAGCAGTTAGCTATAATTTCCATCACAACAGCTCAAAACTGGCACATCCCAGCTCAATGAGCAACTTTAGAGTTTTGATTATGAAACAAGCTTAGCTCCTTGAACCCCATCCTCGGTACCATGCATTTGTGAGCCTCAATCTACAGTCCCAGAGTGGAGATGGCTTGTGCCAAGAAGGGTTCCTCAGGCTCTCCCCCGACATTAGAGCGCGGTATCAGGGGGATGCTCAGCTTTGTAAAAAAAACAGTCATGTAAACCTGTCAGTCAGCATGAGCAGGAGCAAGGCCAGAGCAAAGAGTACCTCAGTGTGTAACTTACGCTACAGCACCTTCCTGACACTTGAACCTGCTGGTACCATGGAGGATGTGGGCCACCGTGGAAAAGTTAACTGTCAAATAAGGGGGGGGGGTGCGTCAGAGTAGTGGCTCAGGCCACCAACCTTCCAGAAACCTTCCAGGAGCTCCACCGAGCAAGGCCCGTGAGACAATACTCTGAATACCCCTCCTCCTCCCCCGACAGGTATACTTGGAGAGTTAGAAATCTCATAAAAGCTCAGCCCTTATTAATAGAAGATCCTTGTTGCAACTAAAATGGTTGTCATCTTAGCAAGAGTAGCAGAATAGTGCTCTGTCTTATAAGTAAAAGTTCTGGTGAGATACCCAATGTTGAATGCAAAACTAAAAGCATAATGGGAAGCAGATGGAAAATACACACACGCACACAGACACATGCTGCCCTCCCACTGCCCCCCACTACGTGGCATAACTGCATGACCTGGGGCTCTGACTGATTCTTTAAGAAAAGCTGTGATTTTTGTAGACATGTGTTTATCAATAGCTAGGTTTGCCATCTGTGGTTCCAATCTAACCAGTCAACATTTATTGATAGATGGCTGTTAATAATGCAGATGTCAAGACAGCTCTAACTTGAACCTCAGTAAATTTCAGTTATTTTTAGGCCAAAAGGAGACATCGAGAACTTTGCTTAGATCTGTTGGGATAAACTTTTCTAAAAAAACCACGATGCTTATCCCGCCAGTGGAAGAGCTGAAATGGTTCTGTAGTGTATATAAGCCACTTGGACATAAAACTGATGAACGTATCCACTAAAAACGAACCAAGGAAGTACTTTTTTTATTTTGAATGTAATTATTGTTTCTGTTTCACATACTGCATAGATTTTACTATTCCAGAAGATCCTACTGGATTATTTGTACACAGGATGTTTATTAATCCAGGAAAAGAGCCAAAAGCATTAGGGATTAATCTTCAGCCTTCTTCATGCTCTTCTGCCTTAGATGGACCCTAAAGTGCATCTCCCAAAAGGCACGAATCTCAAACGAAGGCCAGGCTCAATGGGGTCACTTCCCCTTTTTTCCTTGCTCTGTGTCTCCAATGTCAGAATGTTTTCGGCTTAGGACTTTGAAATACTGAAGCAAGTATCTTTTCTTTTTTTTTTTAAAGATTTTATTTATTTATTTGAGAGAGAGAGACCCAGCAAGAGAGGGAACACAAGCAGGGGGAGTGGGAGAGGGAGAAGCAGGCTTCCCGCTGAGCAGGAGCCCGATGCGGGGCTCGATCCCAGGACCCTGGGATCATGACCTGAGCTGAAGGCAGACGCTTAACGACTGAGCCACCCAGGCGCCCCGCAAGTATGTTTTCTTGAAGCTCCACGGGCAGGGTTCAGTGGCTCTCATGACTGAAGTAAAGAGAAGCAGTGAGTCCCATGATCAAAGGAGCAACTTAGTCAACTTTTTGCTTCTGAAACCCCTTTCTCTGACTCCCCTCACCTGCCGGGGCTAAGGACTCCCATCACTTCTCACACTTACAATTTCTGGTGATACGATCAGCTTCTAGCTCTCCCTGGGCCCCCACCTAATCCAGTTTGCCACGGCATGGTGGCATTAGCAGTATCCGAGGGGCCTTGGCCTTGAGATTCCAGCCAAGGTCCATCTAATCAAGTGAAGCAAACAACATTTTTCATTTGCCCTCTTCCCTGAGCTGCTGCTGCTTAGAAATTGCCATGCAATTTAAAAATGAAAAAATGTTTCATCTCTCAAGATCCTAATTTAAAATGGTTAGGAATGTGGGCCAAGTATTTTCCCAGCGACTCTTGGGTTTTTCCCAGTTGTCCTATCTCATTTGCCTGATGTTGAAAAGCAGTCCGGGGGATGTCTCTATTACTCCCCCATGCCCACTGCCTTGCTCCCACCCCGTTCACCTCTTTTCTTTTTCTTCTAAGATGGGAAACTATACTCAGCCACAGTGACTGACTTCCTTGCCATCGATGCAGTCATTTACCGGAGTCTTGGAGACAGCCCAACCCTACGGACCGTCAAGCATGATTCCAAATGGTTAAAAGGTGAACAAATAATTAAGAGGAGGAGGGGTGTGAGGGGGAGATATGTAGCTTGAGGGAGATTTAGAGCCTGGACAGACCAGACCGAAGTTTCATGTTAGTAATGGCTTCTGACAGACAGGAAGGTTGCAGCGACATCTTTTGCCCAAACTGATTTCTTTACCTCCCCCTTTCACTTCCCATGAGTTTCTGGAGTATTAACACAACGACCGGTGCCACTACAAAAGAATACAGTACATTCATCTTTCCTGCCTTGAGCTCTCGTTTCAGAGTCTAACGTGAAAAGAACTGAATGTTTCACTCATGGAAGGGAATGGGACTGGAGGTGTTGGGGAGCAGGAAAAGAGCTATTCACAACCGTGAACGAGTCAGGGTTCACAAGGAGATGTGTACAAAATCCTTTCTGCAATACAGGCATTCCACTGTGGAAAATAAAATTAGAGACATACGAAATTCATTTATTCTTCATTGTTCATTGCCACCACTTCTGAAAGATAGAATTTGTAGGCTCAAGTGCCTTCTGGAATCACCAGCACTTGCACGTGTGGTCATTAGAAATGGTTCGTGTTAACCCCATGTCTAATGGCCCTACACTTTTAATTAATATGTCTCTGGTTGCCACTGATTTGAAGTTCTTTTAACTCTGTGTGACATGTCCCCAATTAAAATGCCATTTGCCCACAGAACCATACTTTGTCCAAGCAGTGGATTATGGAGACTACATCTACTTCTTCTTCAGGGAAATAGCAGTGGAGTACAACACCATGGGAAAGGTAAGGCGGATAGAAGTCTCACTCAGACCAATGTTGTGAATGACCTTGAAAGAAGGGCCTGAAATCTAATCCCAAGGTCATCATTTAGAGAAGACTATGCCAAAGACTGGTGGCAATGGACACAGTCCTGCCTCAGAGTGCTGTGAGCCTTTTTCAGAACAGTCCCAGATCACGGGGAACCTCTGAAATATTTCTACTGAAAATGTAATCGACAGATGTTTGGCTGATTTCACACTGAGTCTCAAGTATCTTGAGAGGTGGTTTCCAGGTATACTCATCATTTTTTTTCCTTTTAATGGAGTTGTTCCACAGAAGGAGAGTAAATATCCAGCACCTTTAAGCACACGGAGAGTCTTGATTGTCTTTATTGCAGAAACAGTCCACTGTTTTTTGAAGTGGATGTCCACTTCAGTTATCTTTACCAGAGAGCAGATCAAGGTCACAAAGCTGGAGGGCACAAATTCAGTGCCAGGGTGGCTTGCAGGGTTAGAGGAATTCAGAGCATGAGATTCAGGGCCCAGAGGCAGCCAGTGAGGATGGCAGAGATGGTGTATACAAAGCGTGCTTTTGTTTGAGGAAATAAAAAGCTAAGCAGTCTGTATGCAAATGAGTTTATCTGGCTGGGAGCTGATCCCCTGAAGGATTTATGGCTCTGTATTAAATGCCACAGCCTTATCTTTCAAAACATGCTGTTCCAATGAGTCTTCCCTCCCCCTGCTTTTTTTTTTTTTTGCTACTAATTTTAGAAACACGGGATTAAATTAAGCACCTTGTTGTGTTTGTTTTCTAAGAAAGGCAAATTCTACTAAGATCTCGCCAAGTTGACTGCATTTCATCTTCCCGGTGTGTTTTTCCTCGGCAGGTAGTTTTCCCAAGAGTGGCTCAGGTTTGTAAGAATGACATGGGAGGGTCTCAAAGAGTCCTGGAGAAACAGTGGACATCCTTCCTGAAGGCTCGCCTCAACTGCTCGGTTCCCGGAGACTCTCATTTTTATTTTAACATACTCCAGGCAGTCACAGACGTGATTCATATTAATGGCCGTGATGTTGTGCTGGCCACCTTTTCCACACCTTATAACAGGTAACCGTGCCCTAGCTGCACTGACCTCACCGGTCCTTCTGGGCTTCCCTTTCCCGTGGCGGGGGGGGGGGGGGTCTCTCCCGATACGCAAGATTCACAACTGAAACAAAACGTGCCGCTCGCTACATGTAGCTGCAAAGCACTTAACACTCCATTTTCATCAACAAATTAACAGTTATAAGCATTATTAGATTAGGATTTTAGGGCAAGTAATTAGATAAATTATAACAATATTTCCTATTTATATGCCTGGCGTGGAAACACGTCTCATGTGTTATTTCTAAATCTCTCCAGGAGTACTGGAAACTGAATACTGTTGCCCTCTTTTTACACCTGAGGAAACTAAACTCAATTCTGTCACCTGGTCCAAGTAGTCAGGAGATGAAAGAGACACCCTTAGAACTCAAGAACATGCCTCCTTCCTCCTCAAGGTCATCTAACATTCTGTGTGACTTTTAATATTTCTATGACTGGATCGGTTACCTTTTGAAGTGAAAACACTGAAAATGTATTTAAAGGCTACAGAGTGTGTAGGATTCCGACGAGTCCATCGTGCATCCGACCTAAGGGACCCTAGTTATTATCTGTCCAAGGAACCTAGACCCCAACGACCACTGACTCCAGGGGCTTGAGTAAGGACTTACAAGTCATGAAACAATGTACCTAGAAATACTGTCAGCCTGTTCATTCCTGTGTTCATGTTTATTTAAGCTAAGACTTTGAGTAATCAAATGACAAACTAAAAATTGTTCCTGGGGCAGCAGAAATGTGCAGAGATTAAAAAATAGGAGGAAGGCAGGCATAAGTTCTTCCAGACCTTAAACCTTAGAGTCCTAGCACTGTTGTGTGAAAATGAGCATAACCAGGCATGGTCATAAAACCTAAAAACATGAACTTCATTCTCATTTCTGTGGAGAACTTGGGATGTTCTGTACTGTCTTCCTCCGGATACACACCATTAGGGTCTGGATCATCCTTTTTATCAAGACTTAAGAAGCTGATGGGTGTCTAGATGACAGGCACCTGCATGGGAAGACTGGAGGATAGCACGTAGAAATGCTTACAAACTAGGGAGAGTCTGAAATAGAACACGCCAAAGGATGCACTAATGTTCCTCAGTTATCTGGAGGGCAAGAGTCAAGCGCTCTCCATCGAAGACACATGAAACTATGAATCCATATTGCAACATCTAAGTTCCATCTAAGTGAGCTTTAACCATCTGCAGAGATTTTTAGACTTGAGAATAGAAAAATACAAAAATCCAGGCCATGACTGTTCACACTTTGGAATCCAAGTATGTAGAATTGTTTAAAAGAATCTGTCTTGGTACGTGGGAATGCAGGGGCTAGAGGAATTTCAAAGCACATTTCTAGTTTGTTTGGGGAGGGGGGTGTTGAGGGTGAGTTACTGTGTAATTACAATACAGTAGTAGATTCTTGTATATTATAGATACTCCGTTTAAAGTATTTTCTTAAAAGTCCTCAGGAAGCCCCCAATTAGTACCTGCTTATGCAGTCTCAGAAACCTTATTTGTTCAGTAAAATCAGAAAATGGTAACAATGCACATACCCATTTTCATCTATTAATTAGAGTCTGTCTCTGGTTTCATCCCTTTTCACCCCATCCTCCACACGTGCAAACTTGGTCGTGAAGGGCTGTTTCAAGCCCTTGAGGTGCTCCTCTTTGCCCTGGGGATAAAACCCAAGCTCCTTGGTAGAGCACACAGGTCCCCCCACGGTCAGGCCA